TGATCAATATTACCATTCAATTGGCCTGTAATGTATTCTGACCTGGGCAATTTAAGAAACCCTACGCCAGTGATTCTTTGATCTGGAAAAATCGATTGGAGGATTCTTCAAAGGGTTGAACCCCCAACCGCACCATTAGCAGACGGCGCCCGAGGGGCTTCAGAGGGTCTGTTGATATCACAGGGGTCACAACCTCCTAGTCTACAGGGGAAAGGTGATTGGTCATATCGACATGAGCCTGGAGAGAAGGTAGACGCACACAGCGAAAGCTAACAATGGACCAATCACATGCAGTTGCCGAGGAGAAGAAACTCTTTAATGTGCGACTGCGGCACCTCTTCTTTCATTAGGCCGAATCACTGACACTCTCACACTATTTATTCTCTCGGACCGTCTTTCCTCTTTCAGCCTCTCCTTATTTTCTGGATATAGCGCGAGAGGGAGTGAAAGAAGGACAAAGTGGGTGAGACGAGATAAGAGCCGATGATGAGAGGTAATATCAGGTCAAGGGAATCAGAATCTGGACAGAGAAGGGAAGGCGGGGAAAGGGATACTTAGGGGGGGTCAATGTAGATTAAAACGGGAGCAGAAAGCGTTTTCCGTCCCCTCCTTCTCCATCATTAAAACTACGTGCTAGCTTGAGCACAGACAGTGACTGGACTGTTGGTTCCCTCGCTGGGTTTTTACGCTCCAGCGAGCCGACGTGCTTCCAAACTCCCCTTCCAGTAGGAAACAGAGAAAAGGCTTTTTGTCTCCAGTGAGACAGGCCGTTGTTAATGTCCCCCAATCACTGACGCTTACCACTCACCCCTTATTGTTGCACTGCTTTCTTTGCAGAATATGTCTTTTTGTCGCAGCTGGCGTCATCATTCTGTGGCCCCTCTGGTGCTTAAAGAGGTCACTTCTTAGGATCTTCTAGGAAGTTCATACAGATTCAGCATCTTGAAAGAAGGTGAAGTTTTGCTTTTCCGTGTTTTATGACTTGTTGCTGAATGAAATAACTGTTCAACTGGAAGGTTGAACAGTTTACAAGCATACACAGGTATTTAAATTGCGAGGAAGCCTATCTGTTTATTTTTGTTGTAGTAAAGTGACTGCAGGCTACAGAGAGGAGATGGCTGTGTGAGAAAAACACAGCTCCGCTACCCGCATGTGTGGCGGCTAACGCGGTGATCAAGCCCGTTCAATCCGGGCTAACGGGACCGTTAACGGGATTAGTGCATTGATCGGCACACACAGACAAACACATAAGACACAAACATTGCAGCCCAGCCAGATGCTGGAGACAAAAAGTGTCCCAAACCACTTAAAACTACGGTAATAAAATCAAGACCGGAGGGCAAGTATGCCTCATCGAGCCACTCGGTTACAATTCAAGGAGCGAGAGAGTGGTTCAGTGGAGAGACACGAGCAGTGAAAGTATGAGATCACGTCAACTCTACCTGCTCTCTGAGTAGATTCGAATGGAGTTGAGCTCAAATGAATGAGCGGTTAGTGCGATAGCGTCGGATAGAAAATGAGGAAAGGGGTGCAGAGGTGTGTACGCTGTGGTACCCCGGCACTTTTCCCGTCAGTATATACTGTATATGCAGCTGCTACGAATATAATTTAAATGCAAATGGGGCGATACTGCAGTCAAGCATCACAGAGAGAGAGAGTGAGAGCTCGAGTCTGTGTTTTAACAATAATGGTCGGGTTGCATTCTCATTCTCATCCATTCAGGGATAACAATATAATCTTCTTCTTCAGCCTCCGAAACAGCTGTTTGTGTGTGTGTGAGAGAGAGAAATAGAAAGAAAGTACACGTGCATGTGGATATAGATATATATCCACATATATATCCACATGCACATCCATATATATATATATATATAT